GCAAAATCCTTGAATGGAATCTGCAGTAGTATGAGACCAACTCACAGAAACTGTTATATAATGATGTATATTTCTCAGTCATAATTAATTCACTATAACAATCAAATTTCTCTGAGATGAAATGTATACAGTCATCACTCACTATATATTCTACAAACTTCAACTCTTCTATTTTAAACACACACTTGATTGATTTAATATAGAGCTTATACTCTGTCAGAGTTATAAGCACTTCATCAAGATACTTCAGATATTTATTATATAAGTTTAAAAAGACTAGAATGTCATTAAGATATATAAGATATGAGATTTCATTCTGTTTATAAAGAATTGTATTTATCATTATTTAGAAGATAACAGGCACATTTATCAGACTGAATAATATTATCAGGAATTCAAACTTCTCTCATTGTATATTAAATGCAGTTCACAGAACTGACAGTTTATCTATACAGATCTGTCAGTATTCTGAAAGAAGATCAATCTTCAATAGATATCAGGTGTTTTCAATCATATTTAACTGTTATTGAATTCATGATAGTGAATATTCATTCTTGATCATAAGCTTATTAAGTGCTTGATAATCAATACACATCTGTCACTTCTCATCTGTCTTTTTCATAAATAGAACTGAAAAGCCTCACATGCTTAATGAGAATTGTATGAGACTATGTTCTAGAAGGTCTGTGATCTGACACTTCTGTTCTTCAAGATGCATTTATAACAGAAGATACACATTCTGATTGACTGGTTTTGCATTTCTCATATCAATCTCATGTACAAATCCTCATTTCAGCAGTAATTTCAGTGAAAGATCTGTTTAAAAGACCTTTCTATACTTCTTCAGAAGTTCCTTCATACACTTGTTCTCTCATATATCTTTTATCTTGGTTTCCTCCTCTTCTGAGTCTCATATAACATACAGAATGCTTTCAGATGAGGTCTTGTGAATCATTCTCTTTACTTATTAATATATAAGCAGATTTAACTCTTCTATATCAGAGATGTGAAATGTCCTTCTCATATCAGTTGATAGAATTGTATGAATTATTTTCTTCCTATCAGTTAACTGCATATGATATGTATGTCATTGAATCTGCAGATTGAACCTTTGAAATCAATCAAGTTCAAGAATAAGGTCATATTTCATGTTCTACAGCTCTCGCGCTTAAATATAGCAAGATCATTCTCTGAAGTGCAAGAGAACTCTTACTCTTGCAGATGATATCAAATATCAGTTATCAGATAATCTTATGTATTAGAGATTCTTCACTCAGTGAACCTCTTTCAATCTTCAGATTATATGATCATCAATATATTATATAGAAGCTTCTGTATCTGCTAACACTTTTACAGTTATCTCTTAATTCTTACTCAAGTGTTCTCTATATATTAACATTTCAGGTCTCAAGACATTGAGATGAGTATTCACTTCATCATTCTTGCCTGCATCTTATTCAGAAGCCTGCTTCTTCTTTGCATTTGTAGAATTCAGAGAATCATCTAACACAGATATCTCTTTCACTTTGAAGACTTTTCATAGAATATCAGTGAGTGTCTCTGAGCTCACTGATTCTGCTAGTTTTTTAACTCTCTTGCTTCTCTTGACTGTGTATGCTGAGTGTAATCTTTTATATTATGATTTTAACATCTGCAGTTGAAGCAAGCTTGATGCTCATGATATCAAGGTTTTCACTCAGAGAATCTCTTTTTCAGAGAATTCAGTGCTTTAGCAATAGCATTCAGATCTAGATTCATCATATCTGAGTGTGTGACTTGTGTCATAGAAGTCTGATTATCTATTCTTCACTGAGATATACTTAATTGCAGTATTTTCTGTTATAATTGACTCACTTATTTCTGTATAATAAGAATATTATATACTTTCTTCACTGTGTCTGACTGTGAGGTTAAGTATTTTCATTTCACTCTTAACTTGAGTGTAAGATTATGAATGAAGATCTGTAAATAGAAAGATATTGAAAGCTCTTCATTCAATGCAAGATAGTATAAGCTGAAGTGTGTAAAGTATGATATAAGATCACTTACTTATCTACACTCAGTGAAGCATTTGTAATACTTGTCTCATATGTTCACTTTCTCAAAGTTATATAAGATTCATTTGGAAAACTCATTTCATGTTCATGAGAATGAATATTACTCTGAGTCTGTGAGATTTATCTTTTTATCAGTTATTCATAATAACTTTGCTTTTCTGTGTAGAAATGCAGTAGATCTTAAGACTTATTAAAATTCTGTTAACTGTCTGTCTGTGAGTTCATATTCAATCTGATAATATAATTGTATCTGACTTAGTCAGCTGATTACAGCATTATTTTTTCAGTCATTATTGAAGCTTGATGACTTCAGCAGATCTCTCAGCTTGATATATCTCATGCTTGAATTCTCATTCTGTGCAGCAGTCTCTGATGATGTGTATACTTCTGAAGAGATTGTGAACAATTGTGATGAGATCTTCAGGTTCAGTGTAGTCACCTAACTATATAAATATTCAATCTTCTGCTGCAGGCCTAAGATCTGATTTTCTCTATTCTTATTAATAATGATGATTGCATCAGTGAAGCTCTTCATAGTGAATGCTTGATCTACAGTGAATGTCAATTGTTGTTTAACTTCTATCTCAGCCTGTCACTGTGTATACAAGATCTCAATCTCATTTAGAATTCTTGTATATGTATGAAGCTTCAATTCTGATTCAGCTATTTCAGTCACTTTTCTTACTGCTTCAAGTAAACCCTCTGAGAGGTTCTGCATATCTTTCAGTTCAGGTAGCAGAGAAGGGTGTTGTTTATATTGACTAGAGAAGATATTCATTTCAGTGATTTCTCATTAATTATACAATGTCTATTGTTATATCACTGTATTATTATATCACTATATCATTCTATTGCTATATCATTATATCACTATATCATTATATGATTTCTGTTATCATTGTATAACTTCAGTGATGGTCACCTCTCTCTTTTATCTCTTTGAGTGAAGAGCAGTCTTCTTTGAATCTGATTCACTGCTCTCATCTCTTTTCTCACATCTCATCTGTTTGCATATGTGGTATTCACCTGAGTGTGGAGTTTTCCCTCAACAAGTGAAGCAGTATCAATTGAATGCTCTTTCACTCACTGCTCTTTATATGCTATCTTTTAAGATGTTCTAGAACCACACTGACATGATAACTATGAATCACTTCATAGACAGAATTATCATGCTCTGGAGAAGCCTGCACTTCTCACCAGTTTTTAGACATGCTATCAGATGTGATTCAAAGGTTGCTTAAGCCAGTGTACAATTACAGGCGTATGCCAGCTTCTTATATATTGTAATATCATATGCTAATTAATTAGTGGCCGCTATGGCCCCCCTTTACATTCGTACGCTAGTAGTTCGGAAGCGGCCGCGTTATTATCCGACGGTCGTACGTTCTTCCGAACCACACTTCAGTGTATTTCTTTATCAAAACCTCAACTTCTTGCAGGATTTGATGATCTGAAGAATGTTTGTACTCATTACATGATGAAACTGAACATAGATGTGAAAGAACATCAATGTGAAGATGCCTATGTATATGAAGTTAATAATCTTGACTATAATTCTATGTTAGAACTTGTCTGACTATCTGAACAAGGTATCTTGCTGAATGCTTGAAACAGAAGCTTGATATTCTCTAATAATGACAGAATTCATGAAGATGATATTCACAAGACTATGAATCTTACACAGATCTCTATCAATGCTTATAAAATACTCTGAAAAAGAAGTTATCATCAAAATCACTGACAGGATCACTGACAAGTTCACTGATAGCAGAATCATGTATCAATCTATTTCATTAGTCTGGTCAATATTAAAAAGACTCTAGAAAAGTTATTCTGTATTATAATAACAGATTCTTGTACAAAACTTTCTCAATAATATCATGAATATCTAGATATCTTTTAACAAGATAATATTATAAACATACTCTTCTTACAAGGTTCTGAAGTGAATCACAGTATTAAGTTAGAGAAAAAGAATAGTAAGAATTCTGAATCATCATGAGACTCTCTTTATAACATGTTCTGAGATGAACTTCTTCTTCTTTGAAAGACACTCAATAATCTGTTGAATAAAGAATTCATATACATTAGCAACTCTTTCACTGCAGTCCCTATTCTCTTTGCAAAGAAATCAGATAAAGAACTTCAGTTCTGTGTGAATTATTGAGAATTGAATAGATTAATAAAGAAAGACTGTTATTCTTTATCTCTTATCAATGAAACTCTAGCTTGTATTGAACAAGCTCAATGATTTACAAAGTTAGATGTCATTATCACATTTTATAAGATCTGCATCACTGAAGAAGATGAGTGACTTACAGTATTTCAAACATGATATAATCTCTTTGAATGAGTAGTCACACTCT